ATTATTAAACTTTAGGTTTGTTTTAGGGATGGTAAGAATCTGATTTCTATAATTTTTCAGGAAGGATCTTTTAAAATTGTTTTCCAGTCAGAGAAAATACTGCATGAGACTTCAAAGGACATTTACAAAATTGTACTTAACCCCTTAAATTTCCTTAAGTCTTTCTGTGTTTGGTTGTCATCCCAGTTACTAGATATTTATATTTTGCAGTGCGATGTAGAATTTGAACCTGCTTAAGAACTGAGAGAGGACCCACTGAAGTCACTACAAATCACCCCTCTAACTTTGGTGGACTTTGTTTCAGCATCTGTCTAATCTTTTTTACTAGCTCAAAGTTGTACACTCTGGTTGTGGCCACAGGCAATGGAAGGTACTATTTTTAACATTCATTTTTTGTGTTGTGGTAATATGTGAATTCTAATGGGCAGCCAAAACCCAGTGTGCCAGACAGTCCTGTGCAAACAAAATGTCATCACTGTTAGATTAAAACCAGTATAAAAATATCAACACCTGGATGCTATGCACAGAGGTACAGAGCACAGGAGAACCTTTTAATAGAATTTTCAGTCGTGGGTTACTCATCTAAGTTAATGCGTGGGAAGATGAAGCATGTGAAGTGATGATACAGATGATGATACAGAATTGTTCCTAAAAGCTCAGCAATGGTCTGAGTTTGTGAGCCAGCATATTACACCTGTGCACAGAGACAGCAGACATGGATAAGTTTATAAAAACATGATTTAGTTCTTTTGAATTAGGCTGATATGTTAGATTTATAATGAAGATGTTGTTTCTATAAAAGCTTGAGGAGTGATAGATTGGATAAAGCTTTAATGTTAATATATAGATTTTAAGGTTGACAGCTAAGAAATTGCACCTTTTTCACCTTATGTAAATACATTAAGTATCTTTCTGTGTTTGATTTAAAAGCCTTATATTTCAGGAAAATTCATTCCAGTCATCAAAACTATGGAAGTTTATATAGCATTAGAACAATGAATATTTTTGTTATATTGTAATCACTAATAACTATTTTGAAGTAGACTTACTATAAAACTTCTAAGAATTTTATGTAGAAAAATTAATTATTAAGCAGTGTTTATATATGAAACTCCTGCATGGAACAGGTTGGACTATAGTATTTAGACAAAACGTGAAAGAATTTTGGGATGAAATCCCAGAATAAAACCTAGTATGATACGTTAAGTAACTTTGAAAATGACTAAATAAATTCTGTTATAAGTTGATTTTGTTGGATGTAAAATGGTTATTAATTATATTTCTCGAGAATATGCATCAGTTATCTAGAATTGCCATCCCTCCATGGTTTTATGCAGTTAAATTAGGGCACAGACAGTCTCAGCTGGGACTATCAAGATGTATCTTTGCTCTCACTGTTTCTAAGTAGTTGCATATCTAATTCATCAGTCACATTAAAGACAGTTCTTGTGTCAATATTAAGTCTCAGCTGTGTATCTGAATTCAATGCTAAGTTCTTTTGACTCATGTCATCAACAGTAATGCAGCATCTGCCACTGGAATTTAGTCAATAACTATTGATGACAGAAGGTCCAGAACAGAACCTGTCTTACTTTCCTAACCAGTATTAACTCCTGCATCACTGTCAATTAGGTCAGTTCTGCACTTGGAACTGAACCAATGCATCTGTTAATGATGCATAAACAGAATCCAGTTAATTTTTAGCTATAATGGCTCTGGCTGCATAGAGAAAAGCAAAAAGATTTTTTTTGCCCCTGTAATCTAATCAAACTTGGTTTTCAATATGCACAGCAAAATCTGTTTAGAAATAAATAGTAATTTTTTACTTGCATCAATCACTTTAATGACACATCTGGCCTAGATGTTTCTTGTCAATATCATGGAGTGCAAGGTGAAGTAAAGAAGGAAACTGATTACCAGAATACTGATTTCCAGATGTTTGACCCAATTTACACAGCTGTTTATCAAGTTGATTTTGTACTGTTCAGTTATTAATATTAGCTGTAAATGTTATTTTTTTCCATGATGTAAAAATTTGTGAATTAAAAAGACACTTGTAGGGGGTTGTGTATATATATATATTTTGTAATCGTGTACAGACCCCAGAGAAGCCATGTAGAGAAATAGGGCAAGAACATCAGTGTGATTGGAAAAATGTTTTATCAGGCAGGGCTAGGGGGCTGCTTGCAGATGCAAGATGCCAGTCAGATTTGCAGCTGTGTGCTGCTTTTGTATTCATGACACATACACATTAAAGGTGCCTTTATGGAGACTTTAATTTCAGTTGTGTAAAGCTTTGTGTAAATGCATGTGGAACAAGGTTGTCCAGGGTGCAGTGAGCTTTTTCATAGGTTGGCCCTTCTGCTTGCTTTTCTTCAGGTATGAGGAGGCAGAAGGGCTTGGGAACAAACATAGGGGGATGGCTGGGTGCTCGTCCCGAAAGATAAGGAATCAGCCCCTTTTCTTCTTCATAATCTCTGGAATGAGAAGGTTCTTTGCATCGTATATTTGGAAAAGGGAGGCCTCGTGTGGTCAGGCTTGAGAACAGCTGCCTGCCTGGCTGGGGGGAGCCCGGCGGCAGGCGCTCCCTCCTTCAGCTGAGCTGTATGGACATACGGGTGGTATTTATCACTGAATCACAGAATGGCCTGGGTTGGAAGTGACCTTAAAGATCGTCTTGTTCCAGCCCCACTAACGTGAGCAGGGACACCACTACTAGACCAGGTTGCTCAGAGCTCCATCCAGCCTGTCCTTGAACACCTGCAGGGATGGGGCATCCACAGCTTCTCTGGGCAGCCTGTTCCAGTGCCTGACTACCATCAAAGTAAGGAATTTTTTCGTAATAGCTAATCTAAACCTACTCTCAGTTTGAATCCATTCCCCCTTGTCTAGCTCTTGTAAAAAGTCTTACAGGCTATTGTAAAATATCTTACACGCTCTTGTGAAAAGTCCCTCTCTTTCCTTCTTGTAGGTTCCCTTCAGGTACTGAAGGCTGCAATTAGGTCACCCCTAAGTTTTCTCTTTTCCAGGCCGAACAATCCCAATTCTCTTAGCCTTTCCTCATAGGAAAGGTACTCCATTACCCTTATCGTCTTGGTGGCCCTCTTCAGAACCTGCTCCAATTGGTCAGTGTCCTTTCTGTATTTCACTGCAATACAGATGACTAGATTGCAGGAAGAAGAAACATCTGAATATGATTGCAGCTGCTCTGTTACTGAACAGGTCTGAAGTAGGAAATATTGTTTGCATTGGTCCTTTTTTCTTTATTGTACTATAATATAGATACCTTTCGTTGCCTTTCTAGGCAGCTAAACCAGGTAACAAAACATAATTCAGAAGTCTATGTGTGATATTAAATTAATTAGCTGAACAAGAGAATTGGAGTAGTGGTCTATGTGGTGACTGATAAAATGACATTTTGATTTAAAGGCAAAATTAAAAAAAAATAGCAAAACAGAAACCTGAAAGAGTGTCTAGTGCATATAAATAAATAAATAAATAAATCCCAGTTTCTTGCCTTGAGTTATTGTAAGATCTAGCTGTGAGGAACTGCTGTATAGCAACCTAGGCAGGGACCCATTAGAATATCCATGTGTCAGTGAGTCACAGGTTAAAGCCCTGGTGTATGTGAGCATATTCCAGCACTCTTACCTTAGACATGTATCTTAAAGGGAAGTAAATCCAGCTATAATGTATTTATCTCATTCCATTAACTGCATTCTTATTATCCATTCTAAGCACATTCTCCAACTTTCTGAAGAATTCCAATTAAATTAAATGCCCCAAAATGTAGGATTTACCATCAGTAACGCATTGACTGCTGTCAGCTGGTATTTGTGAGAAGCCTCTTGTCATGCCTGACCTTCTGAAGAGATTATTTTGGTTTGTGACTAGCACTGAGAAGTCTCTGGGAAGGCATTGGGCTGCCCTTGGGTCTACTTACATGAACAGTGCAGGGCTGGAAGCTGGCTTTTTGTTTCTTCTCTTTTTTATTTATAAGATTTGTCCATTACCTTGTCTCTTTCAGTGACTTAAATCCTTTCACTTGCTTAACGTTAGTAAAAATTTCCCTTAAACTTAAATGTACTTGTTATTGGGATGTCTCTCTCAACATACTAGGTTCAGGTCTTTGGGATACTACTGGTGGGGTTCATCGGTTACACAGAAATTGCACATAGGAGTGAGTTATCAGGCTTGCCTGAAGTAGTTGCCTTTACTGGGGATTGAGCAGTCAGAATGAAGAGAACAATATTCTGGAGTTTGTAATCCCACCGTGCTTTCTAGTTTGCTAAAATCTCCCTGATGATGCTGATAGCGTCTAATGGATACACTGTCAGCAACTGCATCTTCTAAACTATCTCCAGTGTAAGATACAAAGGAAGCATTTTCTGATGATGGAAGCTATTGTTATCAAATACTTTTCAAAAAGGACCTTCACACAGGGGAAATGAAAAAAGACTTGCAAAACTGTTCAATTTTATAATTTTGTCTAGAAAAAAATAATAATTAAGAAACCTTCTCTCTTGAGATTGAAAGAACACGTCAGGAAGCAAAAGACGTTATTCTCAATCTTTAGTGTTTAGTTTAGTGTTCCTTCTTGCTATGACTTATTTCGCAGTAGAGGATCTATGGCCACAGGGTCCCATTCAGTATGTCTTCCGGTAGTATTTTTTTTCTTCCCCAAGCACATGGATGCAGATGTCCCTGAAATTCATAGTGGAAGCACTCGTTCAAGAAAAGAAACAAATAAATGCAAAAGGGAAAATCCTGCCATGTGACCTTTTCCACTTGCGCATCCCTCTTCCTGCGCTTCCCTAGGGGATGCTGTAGACGGCTTTGCGGGCGGTTTCCCCTTAGGAAGGGTCGTTCTCCGAGCAGTGCGGCGGGGGAAGAGGGGGTGTCCTCCGCATCCCCCGGGCATTCCCTTCTGTTGATTTCCAGGAGCGGATCTGCGCGGGGCGGGCCCGGCCGCCGCTCCTGCCCGCGCAGCCTCCGCCCCGCCCGGCGCCGCGGGCCGAGCCGGGCCCAGCCGAGCCCAGCCGAGCCAACCGACCCTATCATGGCGCCGCTGGTGCTGTACCACTGGACGCAGTCCTTCTCCTCGCAGAAGGTGAGGGGGGCGGCGGGGGCGCGGGGCGGCGGCCTGCGGGCCCCGGATCGCCCCTCCCGCCGTGCCGAGAGCCCCTGCCCGCCCGCGGGGGAGCCGGGTAGGGGGGACGGAGGGAGGAAGCGCCCGTGGCTGCGGCCAAGGCGAGCCGGGTTCGGCCGTGCGGGGACTGCTGCCCCCGGGGTGAGCCGTGGTGCCCTTGCAGGTGCGGCTGGCAATAGCCGAGAAGGCGCTGAAGTGCGAGGAGCACGATGTAAACCTGCCGCTGAGCGAGCACAACGAACCGTGGTTCATGCGCTTGAGTTCCTCCGGAGAAGTACCTGTCCTGATCCATGGGGAAAACATCATTTGTGAGGCAACGCAGATTATTGATTACCTGGAAGCGACGTTTGTAGATGGTAATCCCGCAGGCATTTCGGTGTGAGATCCTTCCCCTCGCCCCGTAGCGTGCCAGCAATGCTGGGGGCAGCTCTGTATCGCTGCGGGGAGGTTCACTCAGGACTGAAGTGCTTAGAGTCTCACAAATAAATGGGCTCTCCTAATAGTTGGTCGTGGGGGCTGAAAACGCGTTCCTTTAAAATGAACTGAAGGCCTTCCAGCAGTTTCTCGACCCTTTCAAGTAAAACCTACCACTGTCGTCCTTAACCCTTCAGGAAGGATGGAAAGGCAGGAGTGGCAGCAGCACTGTGCTGTGCTAACCCTGCGATGACACTACCATGAAAAATAAAGTGTTGAACAAAGCTACATGACTATGGTTGTCAGGCAGGTCCAGATTCTCTGTAAGATAAGAAGAAACATGCTTAATTCCAGAATAATCTTGGGTGGAAAAATGAAAGTAAAATAAGCAAATTATTTTTGGAGCCAAAATGGAGTGAAAAGGTAAAAAAGTAGGAAGAGAAACCTCAGAAGTGATCACGTGCAGGTTTTTGAATTTCTTTGTGTCTGTATTGCTAAAAAAAACCCACCTCCTTCAATTTTGGAAGCTGTATTTTTTATAGGTGTGAAGATGGCAGCATTTTGTATTTCAGGGATTTAGTGCTGCGATTTCTAAGGCCTGAAGAAAACGTGATTGTTGAGAGAACATAATTTGTATTTAATGCTGGCTTTAATCAAAAAAGGAGGAGTCAGGGCCCAGGTAGATCGAGGACAGGGTAAAACTCAGTGGTGTGCGGAATATTTCTAACCATGCTTTGAGTAGGATTCCTATACTGTAATTTTTGCAAGCATTACAACAATAGTAATGTTTCAGCCTTAACAATTTCCTGGAACCTCAACTGTGCCCTAGTGTTGGAGCACTGCAGGGTTGTGTGTCATGATTGCCCATTCCTAGAAGAACATAACAGATGCTGAATCCGGTTTTCTGATTTGAACACCTCTTAAATATGTGTTTATGTGGGTTACTGCATAGGAATTGGAATTATTAAAACATTTGAGAATGAAGTATGTGTATATACATTTCTCTGAGCTGCAATAATACTATTGAGTTACGGTGGGGAGCAAGTGAAGCTTTCTTAACTGTGGCTGTGTCACCTGTGCCAGTTGAACATCACTGAGCTTTGATCAATTACATGGTTCTTCTTCTCTTAACTTTATTTTTAACTTTATATTGCAGAGGAAGTACCAAGATTAATGCCAGAAGAGGGGAGCATGTATTATCCAAGGGTGCAACACTATAGAGAGCTTTTAGACTCCTTGCCTATGGATGCCTACACACATGGCTGCATCCTGCACCCGGAGTTAACAGTGGACTCCATGATTCCAGCCTATGCTACCAGCAGAATTCGTAGTATGTACTGGTATAGCTCTGACTGTCTATCAGTAGGCTTTTGCATTACATTCATCTTCTTAAATGCACCTTAAGCAGAAGATATTGAGCACAGCTTATGAATTTTAGTTGCAGTCATTGATGATTTGTCCATATACTTTTTATTGATTATGTAGTCTCTTATAATTTGAATATGGGAAAGAGGAAGTGTCGTTTTTGAGGTGTCTGTGGAGTTAATTTTTGTGCTATGGTAAACTTCTAAATATTGTTTTTATGTTTCCTTCTAAGTATTACAAATGAACTAAGTAGTTCTAGTACAAGGATCAAATCCTGACAACATGACTGGGTGATGATTCCCTGTTTACATTATATCCTGAGATCTTTGATTTTTTTGTGAGTGTCAGTGGTTTATATTGTGTTGATTTTTTTGTATGATATCTTAGAATCATCCGTAGAACATAGTCAAATACTGCATAGACTTTGAAATGCAATACTACTATACTGTTACTAAATTCATGATATCATAAAAGGTGATACTGTGTTTGAGAAATTCTATTTCCAACAAATTGTGTTATCCTCCCCCTTAAAATTTTTGGCAAGTCAGTTCTCTTATTAGAACTTAGCCACACTTTTGTGTTGTCAGAAGTAAAGACAGGCAGTTAATTTTCCATATAGTTGCATGAATTACGTAGCTGAAGTAACACAGAATCATAGAATGGCCTGGGTTGGAAGGGAGACCTTAAAGATCATCTAGTTACAACTCCGCTGCCATGGGCAGGGACACCATCCACTAGAGCAGGCTGCTCCAAGGCATATCCAGCCTGGCCTTGGAGACTTCCAGGGATGGAACATGCACAGCTTCTCTGGGCAACCCATTCTGGTGCTTCACCCCCTTCACAGTAAAGAATTTTTTCTTAATATCTGATCTAAATTTGCCCTCCTTCAGCTTAAAGCAATTCCCATTTGTCCAAGAAATTTATTATTCTCTTACATCAGTGTACTGTCTGGTTTAGTGGTTTTTTTTTTCCCCAAATGTGAATGCTAACTGTTTATTGAGCAATTGTGCTTTAGTCATAGGCATTGTTGATATTTTTTTTAGTTTTATGTCTTAATAGTCAGTGCTTTTATTATAGTTCACTTTATGACATTGTTTTCTGCATTTCTCACTGTATATATTCTTACCCTCTAGCTTCTAGCTGGTATAAATTGTTGTCAGTTTGCACACGTTCATAGTGGTAGAGCTAAAATTATCACTCATCTAAATTGGGATGTTTTCTTACCTTTTTGTACTTAAAGCATAGCCTACTTTTTTGATTTGAAACATTTTTTTTAATAGCTTGTGAATGTTCCCAAACAATTCCTTTGCACGTTCAAACTTTTCCTTGATGGTTTAGTTTTCAGGTTTGAAAAGCTAATCTTTTTCAGACTGCTAGATGTAATAAGGCATGAGCCAGTTCTGTATTATGTTTATGCATACCAGATCCAAGCAAATAATTAATTGCATATGTAAGATCTTAGTTGTGTGATTACATCCTTCAATTTCTTCATATACTATGCTGAAAGATGGCTCTCACAGCCATATCAGGTTGAAGTGAATATATAAAACAGTGAGTTCATTATTCTCTAGAAAGAATTTTTATCAGTTTGATTTATAAGACTTAATTGGAACTAAACTTAATTATGAAGTACCGGTGAGAGGTGATTCATGCTCTATAATTATTCTTTTGTTCTCAGTTTATTACTAGAAAAACTTATTTTTAGAAGAAGACTTATTATTCACTATCTTTTGGTAATCTAGGTCTGTAAGTATGGCATTTTACAACAAAGTCCCATTTTAAGGAGAGAAAAGGCTATACACATGTAGTAGAAACCAGTAAAATTATCTTAAACTTTTCACATCATTCCTTCTTTAAGTCATGTAATGAATGCTTTTCTAGAACATCCACATAGTCCTTAATGAACATTTCCAAAAGGGATCACATGCTTTGCTATAATATTTTAGCTAACTGAAAACACCATATTCAGTGGTATTTAGGCTTTTTCTTTGAAATTATGCATGCAACCTGGAGTGACCTTCAATAAATCTGTGTGGGCCTGGCTGCACTTTCACAGCATGACAGATGTGTTAGGAACTGAGGTACAAAAGCATCAGAGACCTAATGTATTTGTAGTAGAATTTTATGGATTTAGCACATATTTTGGCAGCAAAATGCTTTTTTGTGAATAAGAGAAAAGTATTAATGAGATTTCCTCATTTTTGCACCTATAGAGGATATTGCAAATTGATGAGCTAAAGGTGTGGTGGGATCAATTTAAGCAGCAGTTAAGTTTTCCAAAACATGATGTTTTTAAGTCCTGACTTGGAGCTGATGCTGTATTGAAGTACCACTTCTCATTTAGTGTGATATTTGTACACAGGCTATTGATCAGTCCCTGTGGATTGCATTGTGAGTACGTTTGGATATCTAATATTTGTCATTCCTTTTTTTTGTTTGGTTTGGGTTTTTTTGTGGTATTTTTTGTGTTTGTTTTTTTTTTTTGTTTCTTTGTTTTTGTTTTGTTTTGTTTTCCAATCAGGCCAAATAAGTAACACAGAATCAGAATTGAGGAAACTTGCAGAAGAAAATCCAGACCTTCAAGATGCCTATATTGCGAAACAGAAGCGCCTTAAAGTAAGGAAGCTCTTTGTATTCCCGCACTTTATTATGAGCTTGTTAGTGTTAGATTTTTTTGTCACAATGTAAACATTTGTTTCACCTGTCATTACCAGTAGTGTCATGCAGTGGTTTAACCCTTCAAGGCATGAAGCAGTCTGCCCCCCAGATCAGCTACACACTTCAAGTGTGTGCTGAAGTACTGGACTGGTCCTACTGACTTCAAAGGTAAGTACACATCAGTGCTGGTGTTGGGCTGTTGAGCACCCTGCAGGGTGAGGCAAACCTCGATATGTAACATTTCTAATGTTTTTCTTCTGTTATCTGAATTGTCACCAGTATCCAAATGGTATCCAGCTGACTGTGTGGAGAAAATAATCACATTTTATGAATAAACACTGTAGTATCTTAAGTAAAAGATTCTCTGATAAAAATACAAACTCTGTATGATGATTAAAACACTAACTTGTGTATATATTTAGTCTAAGCTACTGGATCATGATAATATAAAATATCTAAAGAAAATTCTGGATGAACTGGAAAAAGTTTTGGATCAGGTCGAGACTGAATTGCAGCGTCGAAATGAGGAAACACCAGGTAAACTATTATTATTGCTAAATCCTGTTGATGCTTGTGTTTCAGGAGACTGAGTGAACTTGTCAGCACCATTATAGAACTGCTTTTAATGTGTCTGATTTGTTTTTTTTAGTATATACTGATCTAACATCACAAAAGGGATCAATACTGTTTTAAATACTAGCTTACTTTACTGTTGCTGTCAGTGAGTTCTCACTGTCTTGTGAGAGTGCTTGATCACATTCTTAGCAGAGTATAATTAGCTGCACAATTTTTCAATATTTTATCAACAAAATCAGAAAAATTTAAACTAGAGAATGTTGAAGTTGTAATTGTAGGCCTCAGTATAACTATAATGATCCACAACCTTAATGTTTAACGTAGATTTATTACAATCTTGTGTAAATACTCTCCTGATATTTGTGGTATATGCAGAATGAGCAATCTGGATAATTGCTTTAACTGTTAGGCAAGCCCCTTCCCTTACCCTCTTGGAAAGTGGTCCTGTTTACCTGCCATCCACCCAAATGAAAGTCAAGTTTTCACAGAATCACAGAATCATCAAGGTTGAGAGAGACCTTCAAGATTGTCTAGTCCAACTGTGAATGTAGCACTGCCATAATCACTCCTAAACCATATCCTCAAGTGCCACATCCTGACGCCACGTGAACACTTCCACAGACAATAACTCCACCACTGTCCTGGGCAACTTATTCCAATGCCTGACCACTCCCTCAGTGAAAAAACATTTCTAATATCTAATCTGAACCTCCTGTGGTGCAACTTAAGGCCATTTCCTCTCCTCCTTTTACTTGAGACGTGGCAGAAGAGACCGACCTCCAACTCACTCCTTTCAGTCTCCTCCAGACTAAACAACCACAACTCCCTCAGTTGCTCCTCATAAGAATTGTGCTCCGGAGCCTTCACCAGCTTCATTGCCCTTCTCTGGACTTGCTCTAGCACCTCAATGTCGTTCTTGTAGTGAGAGGCCCAGAACTGAACACAGTACTCAAGATGCAGCCTCACAAGTGCCAAGTGCAGCAGGACAATGGCTTCACTAGTCCTGTTCTGGATACAGGCCAAGATACAGGTGGCCTTCTTGGCCACCTAGGCACGCTGCTGGCTCATGGTCAGCCATGAACACCAAGGCCATTTCTGCTGAGCAGCTCTCATGCCACTCTGCCCCAAGCCTGAAGCATTGCATGAGGTTGTTGCGACCCAAGTGCAGGACCCAGTACTTGGACTTGTTGAATATCATGCAGTTGTCCTCAGCCCATCAATTCAGCTTGTCCTGATCCCTCTGTAGAGCCTTCCTACCCTCCAGCAGATCAACACTGCTGCCTAACTTGGTGTCGTCTGCAAACTGACTCAAGGTGCACTGGATCCCCTCATCCAGGTCACTGATGAAGATGTTAAACAGAACCAGCCCCAATACTGAGCCCTGGAGAACACCACTTGTGAGCAGATGCTGTCTGGATATAACTCCATTCACCTCCATTCTCTGAGCCTGGACATCCAGCCAGTTTTCACTCAATGAAGAGTGCACCCATCCAAACCATGAGCAGACAGTTTCTCCAGGAGAATACTGTGGGAGTGTCAAAGGCTTTACTGACTTCTAGGTAGACTACAACCACAGCCTTTTCCTCATCCACTGTGTGGGTCACATTGTCATAGAAGGAGATCAGGTTAGTCAAACCTTACAAAAGGACCTGCCTTTTGTAAACCCATGCTGGCTGGGCCTGTTCCCTTGATTGTCCTGCAAATGCCATGTAATGGCACTCAGGATGATCTGCTCCATGACCTTCCCTAGTACCAAGGACAGGATGATAGGTCTGTAGTTTCCTAGATCCTCCTTCTGACCCTTCTTGTAGATGAAGGCTCACTAATTTCCAGTCAACTGGGACTTCTCTGGTTAACCAGAACTGCTGGTAAAAGATTGAAAGTGGTTTGACAAGCTTTTGCCAGCTCCCTTCTTACTCTTGGGCACATCCCATCTGGGCCCATAGACTCATGGGTGTCTAACTGGCATAACAGGTCACTAACCATTTGCTCCTGGATTTAGGGGCTTCACTTAGCTTCCCGTCACTAACTTCCAGTTCTGGGAACAACTTGTTTTGTATTGAAGGCTGAGGCAAAGAAGGCATTAAGTACCTCAGCCTTTTCGTCATCCCCTGACACTGTTTTCCCCTGCATTGAGCAAAGGATGGAGACTCTCCTTAGCCCTCCTTTTGCTGCCAATGTATTTACAGAAACTGCTTTTGTTGTCTTTAACTGCAGCATCCAAATAAAGTTCTAGTTTGGCTTTCCTTATAATTTTCTTGTGCATAACCTCACAACATCCTTGTAGTTACCTCCCTCCTTGCAGAGGTGATACATGATCTTTGTTACCCTGAGTTCCAGCCTAAGTTCCTTGTTTAACTAAGCCAGTCTTTTTCCCTGCCAGCATAGGGGGACAGCCTGTTCCTGTACCCTTAAGATTTCCTCCTTAAAGCATGTCCATCCTTCCTGGGCTGCTTTGCCCTTCAGGACTGACTTGCAAAGGACTCTGTCAGTTAATCTCCTAAATAGGCCAAAGTCTGCCCGCCAGAAGTCCAAGATGGCAGTTCTGCTGGCACCTCTCCTTACTTCACTCAAAACTGAAAACTCTTGTCATTTTGTGGTCGCCATGCCCAAGACAGCCACTGACCACATCACCCATGAGTCCTTCTCTGTTCACAAACAACAGGGCACCACCCTGGAAGGCTCACCTACCAGTTGAGAGCAAGTTCTCTTCCACACACCCCGAGCACCTCCTGGACTACCTTCTCTCTGCTGTGTTGTATTTCCAGCAGACATCTGGCAAGCTGAAGTCCCCTATGTGTACAGGGGTTGGAAATTGAGACTTCTGCCAGCCTCCTGCAGAATGCCTCTTCTGCCATTTCATCATGGCTGGCAGGTCTGTAACATATTCCTACCAGGACTTCTGCCCTGATGACCTTCCCCTGGATCTTTGCCCATAGGCCTCATCCTTGTCATCATCCTAAATTCTGTTTGAATGGGATTAGTCTTCTGCTTATTCAGAGCCTGGTTCAACTCCCAGTGGTACTAATAGGAGTCCTTCCTCTGACTTCACTGGGAACTGCATGAAGCATCAGTCAATATCAACTACATCTGCTCAAATCAATAACTTTTTGCATTTAGTCCTGTGAAGAGCTGTTGTAATAATTACTGGTTACTATCACAACCATAGGTTTGAACCAGTGATTGAAAATCTAGGTTAAATTTTCTACTGACTCAACAGTGGAAGAGTCACAGAAAATATTTTTACTCATAAAGGATTTTGTTCAGCAAACTACATCTGTCGCCATTGCCAACAGCCCCTTGCTTTCTCTGCTAAGTAACCTTTCCAAGGACTCAACTGCTACAATTTTGATGACCTTATGAAAACTGCCAGGATCACAGGATTTTGTAAAACATGAGGCTGTTGCCTGCCTCTTGGAATTTTGTCTGAGGTATTCCCACTTTTGAGCTTTGTGATCAGTGCTTCTCCAGGTCCTGGTCAAACTTGTAGCTTCTGCTTCTCTTGCTACTACTCGAATCTCTCACTGAATTACTGCTGCTGCCACTGCAGGTATCTTTCATGAAGGATAGCTTCTTTGGTCTTCCTTTCTATCTTCTTGCTTACTTAATGGACTAGATGAATCCCCAGGTATGCTTTCATCAACCTAGGATACCCTTGTTCTCTAGAGAGGCCTTTCTTCCAGACCTGTTTGACTGGTCAAAATGGACTGGTACCAGCCATGTGCCAAACTGTTGCTTTCCTCTGGTGGCAAATGTGTTGGAAAGGAGATTGCTAAATTTTTCTGTTTCCAGAGAGGTGCTGCTGAATGTTTGTGCCAGCATTTTTGCATGCCTGTTGTGTGGGAAGAACTGCGAAAGGATACAAATGAGAAGGGAACAGCATAGTCCTATTTGAGAACTAGGCTAGAGCAGAATACTCATGCTGACAGCTATGGTAACTATTAGTTTTCATATCCTGGGTTTCGAAAGCTCTCAGTGTAGTCAATTCAGGTCAGCCCTTTCACGTGGTGGTCGTTCAGATCACTGACACTGCTCTGAGCCATCCCAGGAAGATTCATCTCTTTCCTTCAACTGTAGAGGGAACCTGGGGTCTCTATCTGTGCTCATGACTAGTGGTGGGCAGTGTGAATATCTGTCACTTCTTAACATCTCATCGTAAAAACCCCATGGTCACAAAAGAAGGAGAGGTAGACAAGCTCTGTCTTCTCACTAAACTGGTGTGTTTGGTGCAGATCAGTCATCTGATCTGTTTGGTTTTGACTTGAAAGCCTACAGCAATTTAGCTGGACTTAGTTCTTGAGTGAATGCCATAGAGCTGAGTGACATAGGCAAGATGATAAATTCTTCAGACAAGTGGTAGCTTTTCACTAAAATTTAAACTGCCTTCCTCCTTTCCAGTCCTGTTTAATTTAATCCAGATTTGAGAAATGTAGTTGAGGAAAATAACTGTTTACTGTGAGCTTTAATTTATGAACCTGGAATGTCACTCTTTTTTTCCTTAACAAATGTAGTCCCAGCTGCTGAGCCTAAGACTACAATATTGTGCAAAGAATGGACAGGGATTACTAAAATGTTCATCGATTAAAGTCATATCTTAGCTGAAGTGTTGGTGGTGTTTATTAGATGGAATATGAAATAGCACTAAACTAAATATTAGTGCATGGAAGCTTCCATGTGTGCTTGTATTCCATTAGCTCCTAATTCTTTATGTTTTATCTCTGCTTAGAAGATGGAAATCAGCCTTGGCTCTGTGGTGATTTCTTCAGTCTGGCAGATGTATCACTTGCCGTCACATTACATCGCCTGAAGTTTCTGGGATTAGCAAGAAGAAACTGGGGAAATGGAAAGCGGCCCAACTTGGAAGCCTATTATGAGCGTGTTGTGAAGAGAAAAGCATTTTACAAAGTTTTGGGACACGTCAACAATATATTAATCTCAGCTGTTCTGCCAACGGCATTCCGCGTGGCCAAGAAAAGGGCTCCGAGGGTTCTTGGCACCACCCTGCTGGTCAGCCTCCTGGCGGGAATGGGTTATCTTGCTTTCCTGTGTCTTCGGAAGAGGTTTGCCAACATGATGTTACCGATTAGAACCAGGCAAAATTATTTTTAGACCTGTCTGTCCCTGGTGGTGAGTGGAAGGCATCTCTCCACCCCAGGAAAATATCCCCAGTAAAATATAAACATAGATGAAAGATTATGTCTGTGAATTAGAACATTTTCACACACTAATCATCTCCTGCAGTTGTATAATTGGGTTGGTAATGCTGAGATATTTTTCAAAAATGTATGTTGAGGGGGCAACAAAGGAAAGAAGAGACTTTCTTTTCAGCCAAGGACCTGTAACTGTGACAGTGCTTTATTGAAGTGGTTATCGTCTCCTTTACCCAGTAGCTGACCTAATTATAATGCTTTAATTTAATAGATATGCAGCAATGTGATAGCTTTTCACTGTAGGTGAAATGCGTTATTGTGCAGAAACCAGCATTGTTAAAATACTGAAAATAGCTCTTTAAATGCTCAGAGTAGAATTTAAGTGGACCATCGGCTCTGTGCCTGTTGTGTACAGGGGCTAGTTTCTCTTTACTGATTAATGTCTATTGATTTGCCGTTGGACCTTTAGGATGTGTTCAAAAGTAATCTTGTGAAGCCACTTTTGTCACTGTATGTTCATGCAGCAGTACAAGAAAAGACTTAAGACAGGTAAGAACATCAGTGAGTTGTGGGCCACATGAGTGAAATTCTCCAGAGGCATCACTGGGCAACAGGTACTGGACTTTTGCTGAAATACAAGCGGGAGTGAAAAACCCGACACTTGTCTTTCAAAAGCCTTTTGGGCTTAGCTGCAAACTCTGGCAGAATCAAATCAAATCAAACTATCTTGGTGCACGCTTGCTGCTTTCATTGGGGTGGCTTGATATAATTGCCTCCGTAAGAGTGTTCTTTTTTCACTCTGAGCACTGGGTATTTTTTGCACACTTCTTGTCTACATTAAGATTTGCATGTGCCTCTATGAAATGCTTGCCCCCAACGTGCCACAGCCGGCTAGAAAATGTATGCACAACAATGCATTTTGTAAAAGTAATTTGAAATAGTTCACTATCAGTCTAGTTAGGTAGCCTAGATTGAAGGTGAAGCTGTAATTTAGCAATCTGTTTACTTATGGAGAGGTGTCATGTTGGTGGTAAATGAAAAATATAGGTCAGTTTGAAGACAGATGATTTTTACTGCAGACTTTTTTGCAAAACTGCACTCTTGTAGCATGTAGGAAAGGTGTAGAAAAACATTTTGATTACTTCCCACTGCTCAGCAGATGCTGTGAATTTTATTAGTTTTGAACTGAGCTCCTGTTTCAATGAGAAATTTACATTTACCTGAAAATAGACTTTGAACCATGACAAAGAAAGCAGTTGGGAAGGGCTGAAAATTTTCATGACAATTTAGTAAGATTTTTGTGTTCTGGATGAATGTCTGAAAGTCACAGTAAAATTAAGTATATATGACTTAGCTTTCTTTAGAATTAATTTATATTTTATTTTTTCCTTTTCCTCTTTTTTTTTTTTTAATGTGTTAATTGCAGATAAGAACACTTATATTGCTGGCTTAGTTCACACTAGCAGACCTGTGCGCTGTGATACAGGCTAATTACTGAGGAAACCGTTTTACTTCTCCCCAAACCTCAGTGATTTCTGCACTTCAGCTCGTGCTTGTTTCCTGCCGGGAGGTGCAGGTGCTGTTGGAAGGAGTGAAGTGACCACCAGATGTCAGTGGTCCTCCAGGGCTCTGCTCCGGCGCCTCTGAGGCAGGAAAGCACTAGTTTTCACAAACAAAAAGTTTGTGATCTCAGCATAAGAGGGATGTGAGCACTCCCATCAGACTAGCAGTTTCTCAAGAGCTCTTGAAAGAACTGCTCTGGTCTACCACAGGTTGGTTCTCTGATACCTGTCACTTACGGTTGTGTAGCTTCTACTCTGGATAAATAAGAGGCTGAAGTTGAAATAATATTTCACCTGAAAATGAATGTTACCGAACAACAATTAAACGTGTCATCTGCAGGAATGAACGAGTAAAACTTTCACAGCAGAAAAGTTGGGATTCCTGGTTTGATTCATGTCTGTTAGTTCAAATGTTTCATATGCCACTTATTTTCACTGCCCTGAAGTACTCCGTACAACACTGTTTTCTGTACAGGTGGCAGCAAAAGGCTTATCCATGATTAAATTCCTCAAAATAGGATGAGATTTAGAAGCACATATGCTGTATTTGGCTCTTTGTGCAGGATAGCTTTTGTGCTTGTAAAGTTTCTTTTCAGGCTGGCTTATTTTGTTTGCTCTGGTAGCTCTGTATACTCTTTCAGTTGGATACACAAGCAGTCTTCTGGTTTTCATTTCCTATTTGCTCTCATATCATGCATCAGGTATATTTCATATCTTTATGTGGGACCTGCACAATAAACAGATTCTAAGACCACTTTCTAGACTGGCTTATGTCTTCTGTGTCAGTAAAACAAAGCACATTCAAGGATCACACAGTACTGCTGTGAGGAGTCTGATGCTATTCAAGGAGAGAAGCCTCCGAACACCTTTTAAACCGGCTTAATGGTTTACATGCAGCTTGCCTTGCATGTATATGGAAACAGCAGTTGAAATGATGTTTTCTTTGTTTATCTGAGCTGTATATGCATGAGGTTCAACAGAAGCCATTAATAAAGTAAAAAAATAAAAATATAAAAGTAATTAAGGAGGGCAAGCAGTGTTGTGCTCTTAATTAATCCATTAAAAAAAAATACAATGCCAGTTCCCTTCTGATTGTGTCCCTGACTCATTGTTGAGCTACAGCAGCTGAAGGTCCTTTTTATAAGGTGCATGAGAAGCACATAATCTGTGTTCACACTGACATTATCCGTGATGAGACCAGATGGTGTAACCCAACCAGTGTTTGTGTGGCCATAAACTAAAAAAAAAAAGCTTTCTTTTTTTTTTCCTTGCAATGTAGCAGTCTGCATTGGACTCACTTCTTGTTAAGCAGAGGAATAAACAACAGTACTTGAGGCTTGCATGCATTTCCTCTCAGTATTTTGAAAGTCCAGAAAACTGCTAGAATCAGGTAGACAGCTGATAGGGCTTGAGTTTGAGGAGATTATGACACCTGGACCAATTTAAAAGTAGCCTTGATCAGAAGTGTGCACAGAGCTGTTACTGTGAAAAGCTTGTGTGTAAACACACAAGAAGAGCAAGAGTGAGTGGGAAGGTAAATACAGCAAGTATAAATTCCTTGTCTAGATTTGCAAAGCCATACATCCACTTTTACGTGTCATTTTTAAAGGCATTTTTTACTTAAGTCTTAATTTTATGGGAGCAAGGAGCTACTAAGGTTTAGGGACCAGATTATCATGCCCTAATTTGTGAGGAATAGAGATAGCAGTAGATGGAAAGTAGGTGAAAAGTTGTGGGTCTAGCTAGCTGGAGCACACTGTGCTCTGCAATAATGTGTATGACAGATTTGCTGAGGCCTGTTTATTAACTTTATCTCTCCCTTTAGCTGATGTTAGACAAAGAGGTGTAAGGTTGTGCTTAGGCAATTTATAAGATGTGCTGAAGAAGTCAAAAGCGTGAAGAAAAATCCCAAACAAAATATATTGGGTTTTGTTCCCTCCTTTCTTTATAAAGAAATTTTTAATTTTGGTGCAGTACCAAGTCATAAAGTCAGGCACTCAAAACTCAGGAAATTCCAGAAGCCAGAGTTCTTACAATACTGTTAACTCATTCTACTACTAACTCACTCATGTGGCACTTCAATAGCCTTTTTATTTCTGTTTTTCTTTCTAAATTACAATCATGGTGCTTTATTTAATGTGAAGTTAAAAATGTTGCACCATAAAATAGTTAAGCTGTAGAGGAGGCCGCTGGTTGTTTCCCCTGCTGGCTGAGGCATTCACCTTACAGAAATTGAAGTCCTTCTCCCCCACTTTGTATTGAAATAGGTAAAATTCAGAAGTGGAGACAAAAACTCCTCCCTTGTAAATATGTGCCCTATGCAGTAGGTTGCAGAGTCAGGTTTCCTTTTTCTCAGCACGAAACATTTTTGTCTTTGCAGAAATCAGAGGCCATTTTTTTGACAAAAAGTAGTGTGAACATGTGGAAGGCTGAGACTGCCCGTCATTCAGAAACTTGATGGAGACCAGGGCCTGCCACACAGTTTCCTCTACTATGTTTAAAGCCAGCAGTTAGTAAATGCTGAGCTCTTGGTAAGAATGTCTTTGGGTACATAACACAGGTTTGGTGAAAGGGAAGGAATTCTGTATAAATAAATCAGAGAAGAAACTGTCCAGAGAAGCTTCATCACTATTTCTTCTGGTCTAGCTCTTCGTGGCTTTTCTGTGGATGGAGAGAGGCTTTTGGGTTGCTATTTCACAGGACATATTTGTTATATCTCACTTCAACTATTTAACTGAAATCAATGGAGGGGAGAATATCTGTCTTTGTCAAATACATGATGAAGCCAGCTTCCTAATACAGATATTTAAGTTGGACCCCTGTTCAGAAAGGTATTGTGAAAGCATGTGTTTCGAACTGTGTAACTCTACTCAAACACCTTGTCACAAGCGTAGACACCAAATGAGAAAAATTCAAACTAGAGGTCTGGATTGCACCCCAGAGCCAGAGGCAGTAAAAATAGAAAGACCTATTGTTTGAATTTTTAGGTCTTTGAATAGAAAGAGTTCCAGAGACAAAGATCTCACAGGGAGTCTGTACCAGACGCTTTTTGTCCAAATCTTGCGCCTTAAGAATTTTGCACACTTCCATTGTGCTGAATTACAGACAGCTCTAAAACACAGAGGTAGAATCCAATAGAAGTTACGGAGGAAACAAAATTGGCCAATGTTGCAGTAATGGAGGTATCCAGATTTCAGTTTCTAATAGAGAGCCAGATTCAGATCTGGTATGAGTCATTGTTACAAAAAATGTAGTTGTGCATCTACTTATGTTGGATCTGAATTTGATTTTAAAGTCATTATGCCATGAATCACATTTTACGACTTTGCCTTGACAAGTTTTGTTTTGATCAACCTATTTGTTACGGAGACAATGAAAGCTGCACAATACCTTTCTGAAACAAAGGATATATGCAGAACTTGAACTTTTAAAAACTGTTTAAGCTTTTAATATGGGCAGCACATACTGAATCAAAAATTATGGAATATGGAGTTATTTTTGGAATAAAGAATTCTTTTAAAATAAGTCCAAGAATGTATGTTTAGGACTTATCCCAGAACAGCATCATAAATTTTTTATTTCTTGGATTTGAAAGAGAACCAAAAAGCTATAGCTGACTTCATTTTTCTGTTGTTAACAGCAAACTGTAACTGCAATACAAGGAAGCTCCAGCAGATAAAAAGATAGCAGATTTCTCTTTTATGTATATATTTATTAACAGAAAATAACTGTGCTTAGTTAATTTTCTTAGGTAAATCATACTGTCCCTTCTTGTGTGTTATAAGAATTATCAGGGTCTTTTTTCTACAAAGGAAAAGATGAAAATATTTCCAAAGTGGCTGGCAGAACAGCAGCACTGGCAATATCAGCTGAGACTGCAGTTCCACATCCATAGCAACCCACAGAAGTGGAAGTCCAGCAGCAACTGAAAGTAGTTCATTGCAATCCAACAGCCTTCTATGAGAAAGAAGGAGAAGGAAACCAAGTTTTGAACCCAGCACAAGTGGCTGTGCTTAAAGCCAGAAATCCCTCAAGCTGGTTGCACAGATGAATGCCTAACATGTCTCTAGCATCTCTATCTAATGAAATGAAATGAGAGAATACCTTGGTGTTTACACAGGCTTCTGATACTAATCTGTATCAGTTGGCAGTGCAGGGGTAATGTACTGGAGAAAGCTTACATACTGAATTCTGGAATCAGGAAAAGGTTTGTATCTTGTGCTTATATTTGTGTAGAAAATGGATTAAAAATATATTTATGAAGAAAAGCATGCTCATATCTTGGTCTCAGCAAGAATTAGTTCTGAAATGCAGTCTTTAGCCTCACGCATCACACTGGCACACTTCAGCACCATTGTGTCATTGGAGAGAAAAGTGATAGGGTAGATAGTGGTGGAGACTCAGAAGGAGGACTTGAAATGGTAAGTTACATTTACAGGCTGATAACCCTAAGGTTTAGGCTTTGTTTGGTTTTGTTAGTTTGTTGGCTTTTTAATAATAAATAAATCTACACCTGATAGAGTGCTACACTGCAAGGTGTGCATTACTGTCATGAGGGAGATGCAATCACAAGATGATGTCTGTTGATGAACGAGTAGAGAGTTTACTTACTGTGAGTGAAGGTTTATCTGAACACCTCTGTTAGGGTTGCAGTATGCAAAGAAAAAAGCTTTATTATTACATGGTTCATTGAGTCATTCAATAATGATTCTGTTTAATGTACTTCAATCACAGCTTAAAATGCTAATTCAAGATAGC